TAACAAGGGACGGGTCATCGATAAGTGCGTATTTCAATCTAAAACATATAGACTATTCAGTTATGAAATTATCTACCTCATGCGAGCCTAGGTCTACGACTTTTCCCCTTTTGGTTTAAAGGTCGCTAATTAAATTAGAAGAGAATTAATCAACTAATCATATGGATTCGACAAACCCTAACTCGACAAATTAACATTCAATAGTTTCCAACTGCAAGATCGAAGTGTCACTCTTCAATTATATCAATCAATCAAACAAGAACATCAATTCTTAATCAATTCAACTCACATAAGCATGAACAAATCGAAGCCCGACAATTACACGTTAAATAAGAACAATCATCCCCTATCCCTAGCAATCGAATTTAGCTACGAATATCAAATTCAACAATCATGATCAATCCTCTCAAATAATCATTATTCATGAATCCAATAAGAGAAATGAATACTTACAATCAATCCAAGTTCCAGTCGAATTCGAAATACAAGTTAAACCCTAACTAAGAAGAAGAAGAAGAAGAAAAATGGAAAATAATGGTGAAAAGAAGAAGAAAAATTGAGGAAGAAGAAGAAAAGAGAAGAAGAGAAGGAGAGAGTCGTGAAGTTCTTTTCTCGGACCTAGGTTTTCACCTGGTCGAGATGTGTCTCGAGTCTCGGACAAGTTCTCCTTTATATGGTTCGAAAAACCAAGCAAAAACGAGAAAGAACGAAAAAAAACAATTTTGCGCCCGCGACCAGGCCATAGCGGCGCTATGGGTCGCGGGGCTTGGGCGTCTGGCCATCGTTATGGGCACGCTTCGCTGGTAGCGCCGCTAGCTGGGCCGCTATGGCCATAGCGGCGCTATGGCCCGGCAGCCTTGCACGATTTCACGGTTTGGGCTCGTTCGGGATCGTTTGGACTCGGAATTCGATTCCGCTTTTTCCTGTGTGTTGCCAACGAACTCCTCTATTTAATTATGCTTGCATAATAAGCTTTTGCCCATAATTAGGTCCTCCCGAAGCTTCAAACTTACACACCATAAACAAAGAAAAAAACTGGAAAAACACACGAAAACACAAAAAAAAAACCGAAATAGACCAAATCAAGCAATAAACTACAAAAACGAATAAAACCCAACAAAAAGTCTCAATATGGGAGAAAAAGAAAGACAAAGAGACAACAAAAAACGCAACAAAAATGGGACAAACACAGCACTTACAAATTTATTTTAAAACAAAATCTAAAAAGAGTAAAATAACTGATAAAAGTTAATATATAATCTACATTTCTAAGTTGAAAATTTACATAGATTTTTTTTTAGATATAGAATCGCATCAAAATAATAAAGAAATCCCTACAAATAGGAAAATGCATAATAATTAATAAGATTACGACTTGTTCTTTATAACTTATTTAATAAGACTAATTTGAAATCAATATATTACTTCTAAATAGTTATTTTGAAACTCGATTGTACTATCCATGATGATTAAAATTAAGTATGAATATTACGTAAGTCCAAAATTAAAATTATATTTCAACCAAAAGAAAAGATGCATAATAGTCATATTGTACGATTATACTAAAATATAATATTACTTATTATTTATTAAAATAACAAATCACATGCTTAAGTTTATTTCTGAAACATAACCTTTACAATTTTATGAATATTGTAGTATTTATTACAAATTTAATGATATAACCATAAACAAAAACAAAAGAAAATTAAAACTTACTAAAAACTAAAAAGAACTAAAAAATATAGGCGGAAAATTGTTACTTTTTTTAATAAATGAATAACCTACAATTATATATATATAGATTCATATAGTTATGGCTAGACCCGGCTTCTTTTGTTATGCTTTGAGCTCGTTCATACTGATAAACTTGGGGTAAAACCAATCGAGTTAGAACTTGTCTTGGTCTGTTTACATCGAAGTAGTTGAAACATAGTAAAATGGTGTCTTTGAGGGTTAAAGTATGGGAAAAGCTACAGTTCGAGATTTGTAACCGTTAGATCATTATGTAATTCTTAACGGAATAGTTCCGTTACAAAGATCATCATGTAATTCCCTACGGAATAGTTCCGTAACGGAACCGTAAAATTTCCCGTAAGTATGACCACGAATAATGGTTTACTAATGAATACTAAACAAATGGACACAGTGGTACAGATGTGATGAGATTGTTGCTGCAATTTACTGCTTACTACAATAAGATGAATACCAATATTTGTCGTGGGTATTTGAAGTGCCTTAATTTTTGAAGTTACACATGTTGCTGGACCCAATTTTCACCACACTAGCAGAGAATACAATATCAACGAAATTTAACCCCACAGAGAAAGAGAATACACGGGAATTAAAGAGGCCAAAAGAAAGGAACACAGAAAACTTAAATAAGGAACAGAGACGAAAAGATAGTGAAAGAAAACAGCAGAAAAACAGGATTTTTTTTTATTTATGTGATACTGTGATATATTGTATACAACATAACTGCAACAACATAGAATCATTGAATACTTAGAACCCCTCTTTGGGCTATGCTCGACACAGGACTGGGCACCTCTACAGCCGGCCGACTAACTCGAAAATGAAAACTGCAGTTCCAAAGATCCTAAATAGCTTTAATTAGGATTAGCCCTGGAATCGAAATCAATCACTGCGACGAGATCAACTCGAGCTGGTCTTCCTGTCGATTGAGCTTCGACTTTTCGCATGGGGGCGAAAAAAGGAAAGAGAGGGCGAAAAGTCTCCTATCTGTGGCTAGAAGAGAGTTGCCGCCATCGGTCCAGGAGAGAATCGAATGAAGCGATGCGAAGTTGAAGAATAACTAGTGGCTTAGGTGTGTAATTGAGGTTCTATTTTCGGGAAGGCCAATTTCTTTAGGAGAAGAGACTGAGAATAACTATGTAATTATTTGTAGTCTGAATGGCTATGACCAAGCAAATTTCTTGTCAAAGTTCATATTTTAATTATAAATTTTCATACTTGAGGAAAAAAAAAAAAAAAAAAA